TGGTAGCTCTATTTTCAACTTTTTGAGGAACCTCCATACTGTTTTCCAGAGTGGCTGCACCAGCTTGCATTCCCACCAACAGTGTAGGAGGGTCTTCTTTATCCTTTCATCTGTTGAAGGACATCTGGGCTCTTTCCAGTTTGTGGGCATTTCTGCTATAAACATTGAGGTTCAAGTGCCCCTTCAATTCATTATGTTTGTATCCTTTAGATACACTACCTAGAAGTACTATTACTTGGTCATAGGATAGCTCTATTTTTAACTTTTTGAGGCACTTCCATACTGCTTTCCAGAGTGGCTGCACCAGCTTGCATTCCCACCAACAGAGTAAGAGGGTTCCCCTTTCTCTTCATCCTCACCAGCATTTGTTGTTTTCTGTCTTGTTAATTTTCGCCATTCTGACTGGTGTGAGGTGGTATCTGATTGTGATTTGATTTGTATTTCCCTGATGGCAAGTGATGTGGAGCATTTTTTCATGTTTCTGTTGGTCATTTGTATGTCTTCTTTGGAGAAATATCTGTTCATGTCTTCTGCCCATTTCTCGATGGTATTATTTGTTTTTTGAGTGTTGAGTTTATATTTTTATAAACTTATAACTAACTTCCTCTATTTTTGGATGATGAAAAATGGTTTTATTCCTTCTTGATTGAAAATTGCTTAAATAAAACCTGTTTCTTTTTCTTCTATTGAAATTAACAGTGTTTTCTGTCTTTCTGTAATTAGAAAAACATTAATATAAAGAGGTAAATTTGATTGGATGGAAATGATGGTCTAATTTATTTTCTACAACACATAATTTTGTTTCCCCCATGACACACGCACAGTTATATTGACGTATAACTGATACACAAAAATCTTCACATATTTAAAGTATACAGTTGATGAATCTGGACATATTTATGAACCATTAACCATAATCAAGGCAATAAATTATCTGCAAAAGTTTCCTAGTTTACTTTGTGTCCTGTGTGTATGTGTGTGTGTGTGTGTGTGTGAAATAATAATACTTAACATGATTTGCCCCCTTAACACATTTTAAGTGCGTAATACAGTATTATTAAATTCAGGCAATATGTTGAACAGTAGTTTTCTAGAATTTATTCATCTTGCATGAGTGTAATTTTATAACCATTGAACAACTTCCTGTTTTCCTCTCCTCCCATCCCCTGGCCACCACCATTTTATTTCTGTTTCTGTAAGTTTAACTGTTTTATACACCTCATGTAAGAGGAGTATTTTTCCTTCTGTGTCTGGCTTGTTTAACTTAGCATAATGCCCTCAAGGTCCATCCGTATTGTTGTGCATTGCAGGATTTCTCTTTTAAGGCTGAATCACATTACATTAATATCAAATGATATTCCATTAATTAAGGATGAGTAATAAACAACATCTCCATTCACCCATAGATGGATGCTTAAGTTGTCTATTGTAAATAATGCTACAATGAACACAAAGATAAAGATATTTCTTTGAGACCCTGATTTCAATTTTTTTGGATATATACCAGAAATAGGATTGTTGGGTCATATGACAGTTTTATTTTTAATTTTGGGGGGAATGTTGATTCTGTTTTTCATAATGACTGTACCATTTTACATTCCCACCAACACTGTATGAGGATTCTAATTTCTCCACAACCTTGTCAACGTTTCCTATCTTTTGTTTTTTATAACATCCATATTTACTGGTGTGTTGTGATATTGCATTTTTTATATGCATTATCTTGATGATTAGTGATGCTGAGCACTTTTTCCTATACCTATTAAACATCTGTATGTCTTGTTTGGAGAAATGCCCATTCAAAACTTTGCCTACTTTTTAATCAAGTTTTATTTATTTATTTATTTTGCTATTGTTTCATTTGAGATTCTTATATATTTTGGATATTAACTCCTTTTGGATTTTTTTTTGCAAATATTTTCTCCCATTTCCTAGATTTTTCCTTCTGTGGTTTTGGTATCATATCTATAAAATCATTGCCAAGACCAATGTCATGAACTTTTCCTTTATGTTTCTTCTAGGAGTTTTAATTTTAGATCCTACATTTAAGATTTCAGTACATTTTGAGTTGATTAATGGTGCATATGGTGTAAGCTAGACATCCAGCTTCATTCTTTTGCATGTGGATATTTGGCTTTCCCAGCACCATTTATTGAAAAGACTATCTTTTCCCCATTATGTATTCCTGGTAACTTTGTTGGAGATCCAATGGTTGTATATAAATGGGTTATATCTGGGCTCTTTATTTTATTCCACTGATCTATATGTATACATTTATGCCAGTAGTGTATGTTCTAATTATTGGAGCTTGATGATGATGTTTTTACAATTGTCACTCTTCTCTATTTTAGAGAGCATCAGAGAAGAGGTAAGACATTAAGAGGATGTGTATTTATTTACAAAACACATAGTAGGAAAAAAGATCTAAGTCACTAGATGTAAGGACATAGGTTCTAAGAATTTAACATAGAATACTTTTGGGGAAGGTGACACTGTCTCATTTGACCATATGTAATATGTCATCTTCCTCAGCTGTACCAGCCTTTGGGGAAAACTTTGCACATGGGGATGATGAGGAGTACCAATGAGAGCAAACTAACAGGTTTCATCCTTTTGGGGTTTTCTGATTACCCTCAGTTACGGAAGGTTTTATTTGTGGTCATTTTGATCTTGTATTTATTAACCATTTTCGGGAATACCACCATCATTCTGGTATCTCGTCTGGAATCCAAGCTTCATACACCAATGTATTTCTTCCTTTCTCATCTCTCCTTTTTGGATATCTGCTTTACCAGCAGTGTTATTCCTCAGCTCCTGGTAAACTTGTGGAATCCTATGAAAAACATCACTTACAGTGGCTGTGTGGTTCAGCTCTATGTTTCTCTTGCCCTGGGATCCACAGAGTGTGTCCTCCTGGCTGTGATGTCCTATGATCGCTACATCGCCGTCTGCCGTCCCCTCCACTACACTGTCTTAATGCATCCCCATCTTTGCATGGCCCTGGCATATTTGGCATGGCTCAGTGGGGTGGTCACTACTCTAGTACAGTCCACTCTCACCCTGCAGCTACCTTTCTGTGGACATCGTCAAGTGGATCATTTCATCTGTGAGGTCCCTGTGCTCATCAAGTTGGCTTGTGTGGACACCACTTTCAATGAGGCTGAGCTCTTTGTAGCTAGCATCATCTTCCTTATAATACCTGTTTCCATCATCCTGGTTTCCTATGGCTACATAGCCCAAGCAGTTTTGAGGATTAAGTCAGTTTCTGGAAGAAAGAAAGTATTTGGAACCTGCTCCTCCCACCTGATGGTTGTCATAATCTTCTATGGAACCATCATCTTCATGTATCTGCAGCCAGCCAAGAGTAGACCCAAGGACCAGGGAAAGTTTGTTTCCCTCTTTTACACTGTGGTGACCCCCATGCTCAACCCTCTTATCTATACTTTGAGAAATAAAGAGGTTAAACGGGCACTAAAGAAAGTTCTAGGAAAGATTCTGGGAATAAATTTTACATGATTATTTTAAAAAGTTGTTTTTTTTTTTTAAACACTACTGTGATGAACATCTCTTTTGTGTGTGGTAAAAAACACAAAAAATGTTTTAATAAAAGCCTATTTGGATTATTTTCTCCCATTTTCTTTTGGTTAATTACCTATACAACATTCTATAATATACTATAGAATACATGTGTCTAGTCCCAACTTTGCCATTTCCAGTAGCAACATAAGGTCAATACTTTACATAAAAACATTTGAGAAATGTTTTAAACTAGTCATTTTATTTATTTGTGAAAAACACATTTAGTTCTCAGCTTTCCTGTATCTCTAGATGGACTGATGTCTTCCTTTTTTCCAAAGTTGTGCCCAAGATGAAATAAATTTAGGCAAACTTATTAGGCAGAATTTTAATTTCCTCCTACACTGAATGTGATAGAGATGTGTAGAGGGGCATAATCCACATGAGGACAAAAGCCATACATTCAGGTAGAGGATAAAGTAGATGGAATGACCCTGGTTCTATTATTTTGTAGTTGAACCAATAAACTAGTTCTGACTAACTAACAATAAAGTCTGATTCATAAGAAAAAGCTCAGCTATAGAATATTCTAGGGCTTGAAAATACATATAAATAAAAACTTTTACTATTGTTAGTGTAACTCTACATTTCTCTATATAAAAGATATTTTCATAACTTGGAGATTTATATTCCAGATGGAAGTTTAGTCAAACTCCTCTTGTTGTTTATGTTACAGCATTGATGATTTGTTTCCCATGACTTCACTCTAAATGGCCTTTGCTTATAACATTTCTTTTCTGGGTGTTATACACAACTAATGAATCATTGAACACTACATCAAAAACTAATGATGTACTATATGTTGGCTAATTGAAGTTAAGTTAAAAAAAGAAAAGAAGAAAACACTTCTTTTCTGGAAAGGAGTAACTTTTGCATTTGATTCTTGGAACTTTTTTTTTTTGTAAACACTCTATTTCGCTGAGTTTTTTGTAAACACTACTTCACTGAATTGTAGCAAACATTGGTTGTATGGTCTTTAGCTTGCAAAAATGCTGTGCATTCAAACATGCATCAAAATAAATATATGAATTCAGTGAGATGAGGAGGAATTTTGTCGCAGAATCCTGCAGGTCCAAATGTGATAATAATTTCAAATAAAGAATAAGAAGTCAGGGAATAAATTATCACTTCTAATTGTTCAGAAACAGAGGCATAATTAGAATGGTAATACTCTGCCTAGATTCTATGCCTTTGTGTGTGTGTGTGTGTTTTCTTAATTGAAGTATGATTAACATACAGTGTTATATTATTTTGGGTGTACAATATTCAGCAATTTTTTTAAAAAGATTTTATTTATTTGTTTGACAGAGAGAGACACAGCAAGAGAGGGAACACAAGCAGGGGGAGTGGGAGAGGGAGAAGCAAGCTTCCTGCCGAGCAGGGAGCCCAATGTGGGGCTTGATCCCAGGACTCTGGTATCATGACCTGAGCCGAAGGCAGATGCTTAACCACTGATCCACCCAGGCGCCCCAATATTCATCAATTCTACAGATTATTCAGTGCTCATTAAGACAAGTGTATTCTTAATCTCCTTTATCTATTTCACCCATCATCCTACCCATCTTCCCTCTGGCAATCACCAGTTTGTTGACTATATTTAAGAATCTGGGTTTTTTTGTTTATCTCTTTTTTTTTCTGCTTCTTCATTTGTTTTGTTTCTTAAATTCCACATATGTCCAAAATCACATGGTGTTTAACATTCTCTGAGTGATTTATTTCACAGCAATTTGCCCTCAAGGTCCATCCATGTGATTATAAATAGCAAAATCTCATTATTATGTATGACTGTATAATATTCCATCACACACACAAAAACCCCACACATATACACACACACCACATCTTTCTCCATTCACCTATCAGTGGAAACATGAGCTGCTTCCATATTGTGGCTATTGTAAACAATGCTGCAGTAGGCATAGGAATACATATATTTTTTAAAATTAGTGTTTTTGTTTTCTTTGGATGCATATCCAACAGTGGCATTACTGGATCATATGGTAATTCTATTTTTTTTTTAAAGACTATTTATTTATTTATTTATTTACTTACTTACTTACTTATAGCACAAGTGGGGGGAGGGACAGAAGGAGAAGAAGAGAGAGAGAATCTCAAGCAGATGCCCTGCTGAGCCCAGAGCCTGACTCACTCCAGAGCCCAACATGGGACTCCATCTCAGGACCCTGAGATCATGACCTGAGGCAAAATCAAGAATCAGACACTGACTGAGCCACCCAGGTGCCCCTCTATTTTTAATATTTTGAGAGACCTCTATACAGTCTTCCACAGAGGCTGCACCAACTTGCATCCCCACCAACAGTGCATGAGGGTTCCTTTTTCTCCTCATTCTCACCAACACTTGCTCTTTCTCACCCTTTTGATTTTAGGCATTCTGACAGGTGTGAGATGATATCTCACTCTAGTTTTCATTTGCATTTCCTTGATGATTACTGATGTTGGGCATCTTTTCATGTCTTTTGGCCATCTATATGTCTTCTTTGAAAAATGTATAGTCATGTCTCCTGCCCATTTCTTAACCAGATTATGTTGTTATTATTATTATTATTGATTATTATTGATGTTGAGTTGTATAAGTTCTTTATATATTGTAGATACTAACCCTTTATTGGATATATCATTTGCAAATATCTTCTCCCATTTGGTAGGTTGCTTTTTTTTTTTTTACATCTTTGTCTATCTATCTATCTGTAATCTATCTATCATCTATCATCTATCTATCTATCTATATCTATCTATCTATAATCTATCTATCTATCTATCTATCTATCTATCTATCTATCTATCATCTATCATCATCTATCTATCTATCAGAGAGACAGCACAAGCAAGGGAAGTGGCAGGGAGAAGCAGGCTCCCTGCTGAGCAAGGAGCCTGATATGGGACTTGATCCCAAGACCCTGGGATCATGACCTGAGCTGAAGGCAGACACTCAACTGGCTGAGCCACCCAGTTTTCCCATGTCTTTTTGTTTCATCAATGGTTTCCTTCACTGTGCGAAAGTTTTTATTTTGATGAAGTCCCAATAGTTTAATTTTCATTTTATTTCCCTTGCCTTAGGAGACATATCTAGAAAACTGTTTCTATAGCTGATGTCAAAGAAATTACTGCCTAATGTTCTCTTCTAGGAGTTTTACGATTTCAGGTGTTATATTTAAGTCTCTAATACGTTTTGAATTTATTTTTGTGTATGATGTAAGAAAGTGGTCCCGTTTCATTCTTTTGCATGTAGCTGTCCATATTCTCCAACACGATTTGTTGAAAAGATTGTCTTGGGCACCTGGGTGGCTCAGTTGGTTAAGCAACTGCCTTCGGCTCAGGTCATGATCCTGGAGTCTTGGGATCAAGTCCCGCATCGGGCTCCCTGCTCAGCGAGGAGCCTGCTTCTCCCTCTGACCCTCCCCCCTCTCATGTACTCTCTCTCATTCTCGCTCTCTCAAATGAATAAATAAATCTTTTAAAAAAAAAGAAAAGATTGTCTTTTCCCCATTGTATATTCTTGCATCTTTTGTAGTAGATTAATTGGCCACTTAAGTGTAGGTTTATTTCCGGGCTCTCTATTCTGTTCTATTGATCTGTGTGTCTACTTTTGTGCCAGTATCATGCTGTTTTGATTGTATACCTTGAAATTTGGGATGACAATACCTCCAGTTTTATTTTTTTTTAATTCTTTTTCTCATCTTTGGGATTTATTTTTCTTAGTTTTCACAGGAATTTTGGAAGTCCCTTACATGTCTCTTTGATTTTATTTTATTTTGTTGTTATGTTAATCACCATACATTACATCATTAGTTTTTGATGTAGTGTTCCATGATTCATTGTTTGCGTATAACACTCAGTGCTCCATGCAGAACGTGCCCTCCTTAACACCCATCACCAGGCTAACTCATCCCCCCACGCCCTCTCCTCTAGAACCCTCAGTTTGTTTCTCAGAGTCCATTTTTTTTTTTCAAGATTGCTTTGGCTATTTGAGATCTTTTGTGGTTCCATGCAAATTTTAGTTTAGTTTTAGCTCTATAAACAGTGTTTTTGGTATTTTGATAGGGATTGTATTCAATCTATAGATTGCTTTAGGTAGTATGGACATTTTAGTAATACCGATTCTTCCTGTACATGAACATGGAATATCTTTCCATTTGTTTGTGTCATCTTCAATTTCATCAATGTTTTATAATTCTGAGTACAGGTTTTTCATCTGTTTGGTTAAGTTTATTCCTGGGTATTTTATTCTTTTTAGTGCAATTGTAATGGAATTGCTTTATTAATTTATCTTTCTGCTACTTCTTTATTAGTGTGTATAAATGCGACATATTGTTGTATATTAATTTTGTATCTTGTGACTTTACTGAATTCCTTTTATTAGTTTTAGAAGTTTATTGGTGGTCTTCAGGGTTTCCTACACATAGTGTCATGTCATATGCAAATAGTAAAAGTTATATTTCTTCCTTACAAATGTGAATGTTTTTGTCTTTTACTTGCCTAATTGCTGTGACTAAGCCTTCCACTACTAAGTTTAATAAAAGTGGTGAGACCCAGTGCTCATCACAACACGTGCCCTCCTTAATACCCATCACGTGGTTATGCCATCCTCCTACCCGCCCCCAACGTAAGCATCAGTTTGTACACTAATGATGTACTATATGCTGGCTAACTGAACATAATAAAAATAAATAAATAAATAAATAAAAGTGGTGAGAGTGGACTTTTGTGTCTTGTTTAAATTTATTTCAAGTTATTTTTTTAAAAAAATATTTAAATTCAATTTAGTGAACATACACTGTATTATTAGTTTCAGGGGTAGAATTTAGTGATTCATCAGTTGAGTATAACACCCAGGGCTCATTCCATTAAGTACCTTCCTTTATCCAGTTACCCCATCCCTCCACCAAACCTCCAGCAACCTTCAATTTGTTCCCTACAGT